ATGGATTTAAACTGGTTTTTAAATGCTGACATGTAACTCTTGATCTGCTCCATTGTGCTTCATCAGATAATGCAAGTTAACCCATTCAAAATCTGTAAAACAAATATAAAAAAATCATTTAGCTTCAAAGGTCAAATGCACTTGGGTTTTGAGAGCAAAACCATAAATGGTGTATATTGGAGATTCTTTCTCGCTTTTCGTAACTTCTTGGAGAATTTGAGGGCAAGAGAGGACAAGAACTGATCTCCCGAATTTAGATTACAAATACAATCTTTTCATCATGTTAAAGGAGTCTATTATTACTGTGCTTTTAAAAAACAGTATCTCGGTGCAGGAAAGAGAGAGAGAGACAAAAAAACGACTACAGGGAGAACAAACAAAATATCTTTTTTTTCCTCAAAAATATGTAAGAAATAATATAAAATAATTCTAAAGTAAGCGGAATAAGCTAAAATAAGGCAGAAAATAAGGCTAAAAGAGTACTGACTTGATAAAAAAAAAATATGAGCTTACATAGAGGCTTTTAATATGAAAAAGCCAAAACCAAAACCAAACCTGAGAGGATAGTTGTGAAACAACTGATGCATGAAGTTACATCTAAGGCATTTAGAACATCAAAACTATTAAAGAGATCTTAAGCTCTCCTCGTGGGAGATGATAGCCATGTCAAAGCTAGATAGCTCTTCCCATTCATCTATTCAAAATGGTTGTGTAATATTTGGACGGTGATGGGAACAGAGGGCTGGAGGACTCTTGTGTAGTGAACATAGTGCAGCTATTAAGATTTATTTGATGTTTTACATCACTGAATTTTAGATAAGTAGTCATTAAAATCACAGGAAGAAGAAGTTAATTGAGTTTGTAGTCTCTGTAGCAACAGAATAGATTCCTCTTGCTGCCTGAGAGTTTTATGATATGTAGAAATACTGTTAACAAAGAAATAAAGTACTTTAGACAGTTACCCTATTGTTCTTGATATGGTATCTCCTTCTTTGGATTCCAAGCCTTATGAAAATGTAACACAAAATATAAAGATAGTTAATGTATTGAACCATAATTTGGGAAGAAATATATACAGAAAGTAGATTTTGTTGGCTACTTGGGTGGGTAATGTCTTTCTAAGTGAACATACAGGGGCACTTAAAACTGTAAGAAGATCTATATGAATACTTTTTCAGTTGCATGGTTTTAAAATGATGGACAAGACACAAGTGGCATCAGAGAGTATTCTAGTGGGATGTTTCAGAAGAATATTGCACAATTCCAGCACTTCAAGGTGGAAGTATTTAATCACACTTGCTGTTATGAAATATTTTATTATTCAACTCAAAACTATAGATATGAATAAATATGAATGGAATTATATTTGGATGTGGCTAATCAAGTTAGAAGATTTTCAGTTTGATAATATCTTAAATAAAGACATTTATTTACTCAGATACGAGGTCAAAAGGGTAAATTCTAAATACATAGAGAAACCACAAATAGATTTACATAGCTCAGCCTTTTTAGTTTCCATGCTTTTTTGATTTTGCTTTCAGTAAAATTCTCAGCCATGTATGTTATAGTAAAAGTGTTATTTTCTGTTTAGAAATATTTTTTATTAAAGAGTATGTAAGCAGCTCATAGAACTAGATTTGTCACAGTTTTCATCACAGTAAATCTGTTTTCTGTTTTTCTGATGTTAAAAAAGAAAGTGATCAGTTCCGCAGTGCTGTGCCTGGTGGTTTGTATTTTAAATTTACAAGTGTTCCTTCTCTTTTTCAATCCTGGTTTCTTTTCTTACCAACATTAAAAATACCTGTCTGCATAAGGTGGCTGAAGTGAGTTTTTTGCCTCCTGACACCAGTTACATATGCAAAGTATGGCCTGTTGAAGTCTTGTCTTTGTGGTTCATATGGTCATCAGAAACCTAAATAAAAACATATCCTTATGGCATAACATTATACCTTGTAACTGGCACATCTTGTGCAATTCCTTCAGTGGGGATTTCCCTTTCTTTCCTGTAAACTGAAATCTTTCATGTAAGCAGTGTTTAGACATACTCTTTTGTAAAACTGATCTTATCAGAATTATACAGACCTTCCCACTTTTCTACAGGGGTTAAGGAGTGCTTACCACAAATGGTGCTCGTATTTCAACTGGGAAAAGGAGATAGTTTCAAAAAGAGTTGGGGTTTTTGTTAAGTCTTGATACTTGATTATTTTTTTAATGGAACAAAAGCTATTGTATTTCCATGAAGACAGTATACTGTGCAGCATATGTGGAGTTAGACAACTCCCTCTTAGGGATGTAAGGAATCCCTTGTTAGTTCATTATCCATTATTGCAACAGCTTATAAAAAGGCATGAGTATTTGGTAAGTTTTATTGATGTTGGAAAATGATTCATTGAAATGTCACAGAAACAGCCTTATAAAACTGCAGAAATATGTCTCATTGTTATGCCTTACTCCTCCCTTCTTTTCCACCTACCAACCTTCTGCTAGCCCAATACCCCACTTCATATGTATTGTCATGCCAGAACATGACAAAACTCTTATAAGACTTTTTGATTTATTTTTTTTGGGGGGTGGGAGGTTAGGGAGTGAAAAGAAAAGCCAGAAATGTTTGAACAATTGTCTTCCATTATAACTCTACCTGAAAGGAGGATGGAGCGAGGAGGTGGCTGGTCTCTTCTCTCAAGTAACAAATGACAGGATAAGAGGTAACGGCCTCAAGCTGCATCAGGGGAGGTTTAGATGGGATATTAGGAAAAATTTCTTTACCAAAATGGTGATCAGGCATTGGAATAGGCTGCCCAGGGCAGTGGTGGAACCACCGTCTTTGGGACTGTTCAAAAACTGAAGATGAAGCTCTCAGTGACACGGGTTAGTGGTCGACTTGGCAGTCCTCAAGGTGTTTTCCAACCTAGTTGGTTCTATGATTCTATAAGCAGTAAAGCAGAATGGTGCAGCTGGCTCATCGTCATCTCTTGAGAAGATGCCCCCTAACCTGCTGGGGACAGGGATCAAGAACTGTTAAAGAATTTCCCTTTCAGTGTGTTACTACAGGCAATTTAATTTACATGGAACCACACAGAAGAGATTGAAAAGATAGAATTGTATTGAGCCTCTGTGTTATCAGCTGACTGGGAACATCGGGCTATGTGGAATCAACTGCCACTAAAGCAAAGAAATGCCAGCAGAAACAAGTTAGTAGTTCTGTTTTCTGACCAGCCACTAGTGAGAGGTTGTCCCTGTGTATAGGTTCTGGAATTTCAAGTTTAATTTGAGAATCAAGGCAAAAATGTGTTTCTAGAAACTTTCCTATTGCAGCCTTGGATTTTTTTCCCTGGTACCCTTTCCAGATATTCCTGACATTCTTTGACCGAGCCCCTGCTTTTGCCTGTCACTCCCACCTCTTCTACAACGCAAGTGCTACTGTATTTTTCATTTTACCATCTTCACTCTTGCCCAATTCATCTGCCTTGTGCATTCCTACCACTTATGTTATTTGTTACACAGATCTGTTTCCCTTCCTGTTCCTAGTTTCCTGTTTTCATTCACTCATAGTCTCTGCAGACTTGGATTCTAGGCTATGGAAGAGTTTCAGCA